TGTGTTTGAACACAAGTAATAGCTCCTACATACATATCTTTAATGATTTGAATATAAGCATTATTAACCCCTTTCTTTTCAAGAACTCTCCATAGCACTTCTCTTGGAACATTATCATATGCTTTTTCTAAATCAATAAATACATATGTAGATTCTCCTTATTTTCTCTATATTTCTCCATCAAACCTCTTAATAAATATATGGCTTCCATAGTCGACCTACCTAGCATGAATCCAAATTTATTTTGAGAAACATTAGTATCATGCCGCAACCTATGCTCTATAACTTGCTCCCATAATTTTAAAGTATGACACATTAACTTAATTCCTCTATAATTCGCACAATCTTATGCATCACCTTTATTCTTAAAATAGAAATTAACATACTCATTCTCCACTCATCTGGCTTCTTTTTAGTCTTCAAAATAGTATTAAAAAGTTTAGTAAGCCAAGAAATTCCTTCATCTCCAAAGCATTTCCACACCTCTATTGGAATATCATTAGGTTCAACAGCTTTTCCACCCTTCATTTTCTTTAAAGCCTCTCTAACTTTGGTTTTACTAATATGCTGATAAAAACAAAAATCTTTATTTTTTTAGGGTGCTAAGGTTACTATAGTCAATCTTATTTTTACAATTTTTATTAAAAAGTTTAGCAAAATATATCATCCACCATTGTTGAATATCATCTTCTAAGAAAAGTATTTTTTGATCTTCATCCTTAATACACTTCACTTGAATAAAATCCTTACTACTCCTATCAATGACAAATATTATTGTTGGAATAATTCAAATCACATATTTTTTTCTTTTTTACTTTAAAAATAATGAAAAATAAAAAAAGGAGAATAATATAAGTAAAGCAAAGCAAATTTTACTAAAGCAAGTAAATGATATAACACTAACACTACACCTCCTTTTGGCATCACAAAAAGGATGTAACATAAAAATAACTATGAAATAGAAACTAGTACAAAAACTAGTACAAAACATCACATAAAAATACTAAGCAATCTATAGGTACAAAGGACCCTAATCAGGTGAAGGAGGTGGTGGTGGTGGCTGAAAGAAGTTGTGAATGGAAGCAAACTGCTCCCCAAACCAGGCCATATTATGGTCGTGCTGCTAGTGTTGTTGGGCAACATAGGCATTGAAATAATCAACATCCACTGCATGTTGTTGCTTCTGTGCAACTACATAGGAGTCAAATATGGCCTCTCATTGGTCAAATCTCTTCACTAACTGATCCAGCTATGACTGCTGGCGGATAGGAATAGGTTCAGGAATAAACTCTTCCCCTGCTCCCTCAACCTCCTTGTGCTTCGGGTGGAGGCAAGTACTGTGAAGGATGTGGAAGGAGCTATTAGTGTAAAAGGTAGGTTGGTAGTTTGGTGGGGTAGGATATTGAAGATTGTACTTCATTTCAAGAGCATATACAATGATGTGTCATAAGACCATATTTGGTTTCCTTTTATGTTTGAGATCCCTAATGTTAGACAAGTGTTCAATGTATCGAAAAAGAAGACCGATATCATTAAAATCCCTAGAAGTCATGATATAATAAGTGGTGAAGGAGAATAAAGGAGTGATGTGAATACGGTCACCACCCTTTGGAATAATAGAGGTTCGAAGGACACATTGAATGGTTCTAACATCTTTGACTAAGGAATTGGAGGCACTATCATAGAAAGTGGCATTGGTGTGTCTTAAGTATTGATTAATAGAGATCCAATTGAAGTCAGGATCTAAAGCTAAGATGTGAAGTTTGTCGCCAGTGGTGAAAAATTGAAGAAGTTTATGACAATCCTGATAGGTGATTTTTACTGGTCTTTTGTTTACATAAGATTAGAGTGTAGTGTTGGCAGAGTTATTGTAAGGAGTGGCGAAGAATTCATATAGAAGTTTAGTGTGGAATGAGAAAGCAAGGGTTAGAATATAAGTAGAAGTAATATGAGCAAAAAATCTAACACTTGATAAGTAAAAGTGCGGGGATTAACAATCTTGGGGGATGTAATCCTTATCATTTTATATCGGAGATAAATAGCCTGATCTATTGCCTTAGTGAATTGAGAGTCGACAGCTACCCTCGAGGAGCTTCTAGTAAGCATTCTAGAATGCTTGCCTCCAGCCATTAAAAATATGAGGGAGAGGAAGTAAGGATTGAAGAAGTTTGTTGTTAGAAAAATGGTTCAAAATAACTATTTATAAAGAGTCGTCCAATTCGTCCAGGATGATTGTAGAATCATCAAGGACAATCCAAAGAAATAATAACATCCAGGATGATTGGTCAAAAAGGCTATCATATAGTCCAGGATGACAGGACATCGTCCAGGATGAATAGATAGAGGCGATTATCCCAAGGAGTCGTTAGTGCAATCTTTGACGGTAAGGATCGTCTAGGACGAATAGGTGGATCATCCAAGATAATTGGCAATAATTAATCATATTGGCAAAATTTAAAACACTTAATCATTCTTGTCATGTAGATCATCCAGGATGAACAGGTGGATCGTCTAAGACGATCACCAATAATTAAGGCAAAATTTGATCAGATCATCCAAGATGATCTAAATAATAGAGTTAGATCAGCCATTAGATAGATGAAGCACAATTTATTGATGATATCATCTAGGATGATAGGAAAATCATCTAGGACGATGTGAAGAAAAATTGAAAACTAATAATGAATAAATATGATCAGAAGAGGTCTTAAAAATAAAGCATAATAAAAAAGAGTAAAATATGATGAAAAAACAATAAAAATAGTAAAAAGATTAAAAAATAGGTTTTTTAAATCAATGTTAAACAATGATAAATTTTTATTGTGATTGGATTAGAAATTACTAAAAAATGAATTAACATCACTGAAATCCAAAAAATGGTAGAACAACTGATCCTGTTAACCCTAGCTCAGACTTATTACAGGGCAAACCATCTTTTAAAAATAAAGATCTAACTTAGAAAAAATAATCGAATAAGAAATGTGATCCTTTAAAAACTTTATTTCAGAAAAATATCTTATAGAATAATATATCAAAGTAATTAGTCATGATCATGAGTTTCTAAAAATCAAGTCGTTGAAAATATTAAGTGACACATGAATTCTTATAAGATTTAAATGTTTGAAAGAGAGTGAAGCTTGATTTCTTGTGGGATCATTTTATGTTTCTTATCAATTATTTGGCTCACTTTGCGTATCATTTGATTTTTGATACAGCTTGTGTATCTTTTAATTTTTTTTATTATTGCGCATCTTTTCAGTTTTATTTTTTAGGCTCATTTTATGCCTCTTGTCATTTTTGCGAGAGCTAAATCCATTTCAAAATCCTTAAAAACTCTCAGTTGTGAGAATATCTTCTAAATAATAAAGAAGAAAAGCTCATTCTATAATATAAGAAAGAGTAAATCATAAATTAGAATCATATTTATATAATAAATGCAACGACACAATTAAAAAAGTTTGAAAGTGATTTAATGACTTTGAACATTATTTATATGAGATAGATAACTATAAGAAGATATAAAAAATATCAATTTCAAAGTTTAATTGTTAATTTAAAATAAACTTTTGCTTATAAAAGAAAATTACACAACTAAAAGGAGTTAGAGGAAGAAAAATAATCAATGGTGTTTCTTCCTCTAATTGATTTAGGGATGTCAGTCATTGATTATAAATTTTCATAAACAAAAGCAATGTAAAACATGTCATTCCAGCAGTGATTAATAAAACAAAACTGAAGTAAAAAAAAAAAAACATAAAAAATAACTGTACATAAACAAAACTAATTATTTTGTATAAAAGTTCATAGTCATGAAGTAAATTATTTAAGCTAGATTGCTTAGCTTCACTTATGCATTCATAAGTAATACATAATCTATCCCATATTTCTTTACCAGCAGCACAAATTGAGACACACATGTAATCTTCAGATTTCAGTGCATAAAAAAAGTAGTTCAAATAGTTTGTATTAAGTTGTGCAAGATCTCTATCATCAAAAGTTCATTAAACAAAATGGAAGTTTAGTTTTGATGCCATTCAACTCACGTGTTGATACAGAATAACTTTCTTTTACAAGCATCTACATGCGATAATCTATGGATTGTAAAAAAATGGACATGCGAGTTTTCTAGAAATCAAAAGGTAGCTTGTCAAATAAGGATGATCAAGTAATGGAATACCTTTCCACCGTGTTCCGGTTACCAAAGTTAACGATGGATCAATATTCAAAAGCTTTCAAAAATTTAATTTTATGAGTTTCACTCTCATACCACAGAAAGTTCGTTAAAGTTGTTAAGCCCTTATGAACTAGCCCGCGGTTAACTAAGGGCGGGCGGCTGAATTAGTAGTTTTAAAAATTCTTAAATAAAAAGCAAAAATCTTTTTAAAACCTTTTTTGTCGCTAATTAGAGGTTATTTATTTGTTGTTGAGCATATGCTCAAGTGAGTATCTAATTCTTTTTCTTTTGTTCCATTATTTCTAGTGATGTAAAACAAACATTATATATTAGTTCATTTTTTTTGGATGCGATGAGATATACATTATTCTTTCTTGTTTTTCATTTACTTTGAGTGAGGTTAAATAAGTGTAATATCTTGGTTGGTACTTGATTGTAATTGAATATTTCCTTTTGTTCTTCTTTTATTTAAAAGAATGACCTCACCAAGCAATGGTAGGTGATAATACACCTAAAAATTATTAGTAGTTATTTAAAAATAATTTAACTTATTTTAAAAAAACAAAAAGTTTAAAACAAAAATTAAGTATATTTTTAAAAAATAGATACTATAGATAAAAAAATTAAAGCCTTAATTAAAAAAATTTATCGGGCAATGATTAGTAATCAATATTGAATCGAATTTATATTATATTTAATATTACTCTTAGTAATATTCACTACAATATTAATTATTTAGCACATGTTTTTAATTACTCATTGAAAAATTATCTTTTTGACCTTTTGGCGCTCCGGTCTTTTGAATTTATTATGCATTACGAAGCCGACCACTATCCGATCTGATTGCAAGGAAACAACGGAACAGCTCGCGTCTTTTCTGTTCTTTACTTCTGTCCGACTCTCCCTGTGTCTCTCTCAAGAGGAAAACCCTAGATCTGAATAGCGTTCAGAGGAAAACTGAAGCCCCCGCGATCATGAAGACCAAGAAGCCACTGGCCGAGCTAAAGGTCGTCGTGTCCTCTCAAGAGAAGCCGGTAACTGATTTCTTGTGAGTATCTATCCCTCCTCTCACTTTTTGTGATGTTCTCTATTGCTGGTATGTGCCAACCTTTGGATTCTGAGGAGCTTCAATTACGAGTTTCGCCAATTTATTCCGATTGCTTTGTTTGCGATGTTAAATGAGGTTTTCTTGGCCGTGGGTTGCCACTTCAGGACGGCGAGTGGGACTTTTCAGGATGGGGATTTGCTCCTTAACAGAAAAGGGTTGCGTTTAATCTCTGAAGAAAGTAGCAGCCAGGTCTGTATATCTGTATCAGTTTGCTCTTTGTTGACAATTTTATGTAGCTGTTTTATTGTTCCAGTTTATAACGGAAAGTAGTTGGATTGTTTTTTGCCTTTGGCCTAGAGTTTATGAAATTATACGTATTATTGGGATGCTTACGCTCTGCAATGCCCTTAATTTATATCTGTTAGGAAGGTCAACCATAGGATCGCACGCAAGCAGTAATTGAATGCTGTCGAGTATAATGTTAATAGGCAATAATTTTTATTGCATATTATTAGGACCTATGGGAAATATAGAAAAGCGATTTGATCGACAGTTGGGAAGCATAGCCTTGGCATATCTTCTGAAGTCTTAAACACGACTAATAGAATCCACACAGAAATAATGCGTTGGCCAGTATACTGATTATAGACCTTATATTGCTGCCAATTATGGGTTGCAAGAGATTGGAACATAGCTGTGGAACGTGCCTCCTTATGATTGTTTTGAGAATTCCCCATGTTCCAGTCTGATTTATAGCTGAAGCAATGGGGCATGTGTTTTTATGGCGATTTCATCTCCCGCTTAGTTTTTTGTTCTGAATGGTTTCTTTCCAAGAGATTTTCATCTGAACCAAGAGAGTCTGAAAAATTTATGCTTGTACTAGCTTTTGAATTTTGATTGCACATAGAGTAAAATAGACATAGTTTTTACATCAAAATATCTAAAAAATAAACCACCGGCTTTGGCCCAGATAACGATCTTGACTAAGAATCAATTTTGAGTACAAAAGCTTGTTACCTTTCGGTTAGTCAGACGGTCCAATAATGCCTTATAGGTGATTAAATTTATAGAGATAGTGAAAATAACATGAGAAATTAGTTAGTGGTGATATGAGATTTATTATGAGATATTGATTTTGATGTCAATTTGGGTAGCTTTTAAAGTGTTTGATTGATGTGAAATGATGATGACTTATTCAATGGAAGATCTAACTTCTAAGGCAAAGCCTAAGGTAGGCTTGAAGGCGATGATTTTAGTAGACTTGAAGGTGGATGTTATGATAGATCTAAGGGCTATGACAATTGCAGGCTCAAAGGTGAAATTTGTATCGAATCTAAGGGTGACAACTAGGAGAAGTCCAAAAGTAACAATAATGACAAACCCAAAGTGGTGATAGCTCAAGCTCAAGGGCATCAGGCATCAACTGTGATGGAACTATGGCTGGAAATTGCAACAAACATAGAGATGGTGAAAGTGAGAAGTAGGCTATAACTTAGATTAAATTACTGGTGTTGGTCCTAATAGGATTGAATGCAACAACAATAATAATCTCAAATTCAATGATTGTGGTTGATGTTAGGTAATGACAACATGTCCTTCACACCACTAAGTGGTGATAACATGCATTAATTTGTGGCCAACAAGAAACAAGGACTAGATATCAAAGGAGTATCCAAAATTTTTTTAGAGTTGTAAAATTGTAAAGAGCTTATTTCTTTATGAGTTGTTTTTTGAATTTATTTATTCCTTATAGACTTTAGAGAAGGCTATTTTGGGTATTTCTAATTCCAATCTTCAATGTTTATCGGAAATGAACATGGGAGATTGTAGTCATCCATTGTTGGAAACAATGCAAATTCCTATTATTGACGCCCTTCCCCTTATGGGCTGCTTGGGCCTAGAATGGCCTAGGAATTTGGTGGTGGTGATTGACAATATAGAGCATTGTCTGCACCCTCTTTGATCATGAATCTAAAATCATTGTTCTAGTAATGGTCATCTTGTGGTCTCAATTGTGATGATGAATTAGAGTTTCATGCAGCATATCAATGTGAACATTTTTGCAGACTTTGTTGCCTTATTTTTAATCTAATTGAAGCAAGTACTATTATTTGCTAGGTTGGTATGAAATTGCTTCTCCTCCTCGGGAAATGTTTGGAGGGTAAAGATTCAAGAAGTAGTTGAGTGTCCAGGGCATAACAATTCAATGAAGTTTATAATTCCAATAAAATCATTACTAAAAAAGGACATGTTGGTGGCAATGATCGTCATTGACGAGTGGTACTTGGGATTGTTTTGATGACCCCTCATTGATGGTAAGGTGGTGGTGGCAGTGTAGTCATTGTTCAAGAAATTTCTTCAGTCTCTTGTTTGTACGTTGCTAGGTCCCAAGTCTTGGATGAGAAAAATGGAGGGTTGCATTAGGTAGTCGACAACCAGCGTAAAACTTATCGAATAATCATGACATGAATTTTTTACAAAATTGTGTTAATACTAGGGCGTCCCCTGGAAGCAACGCACTAAATGACCTGAATACAGTGATAAGTGTGCAAGGGTCACTGCACTGACGCCCAGGTGTAGTGTTAAATAGGCAAGGGTTCTCACATCAAGGATGGATGTGGGCAAAGAAGCTAGTCCATGAAATTAAAATTAGGATATGAACTTGAAGTATAGGTTCCCTTACAGGAAAAGTAATGGAGTTAATAGATATTATGATTCATATGAAGATAAATATTATGTGCATTCAACAAACTAAATGGGTTAGAGGGAAGACTAAGGATATTGATAGTTTAGGATTTAAACTATGGTATTCAGGTAGGCGTCTTACTAGAAATGATGTAGGTGTGATTATAGATAAGAATTTGCAGGATAATGTTATAAATATTAATAGAATTGCTAATACCTGATTTAAGAAAAGAGACGAGCAACTCATCACTTATACAAATGGATTTAGTAAAACTCAGATTGATTATTTTTTTATAAAAAAATTAGATCATTTAGATTGCATAAATTGTAAAGTTATTCCGAGTGAAAATTTATGTACCCAACATCGATTATTAGTTTTAGATTTTAAGATAAATGGATAGAAAATAAAAAAATAGAGAAACAATATTTTAGGATTAGATGGGGGCATTTAAAGAATATTAACAAAAATATTTTTGAGAGTAAGATTTTAGATCTTATGATTTTGTCTATGCATGAGGATTCTAATGTTATGTGGGAAAAATTGATTAGTGATATTAAGATTATTGCAAAAGATCTGCTTGGAGTATCAAAGGAGAAAGCTCATAATAGCAAAAATAATTGTTGGTGGAATCCAAATAAGCAAGAACATATAACAAATAAGAAGATTTATTTTAAAAATTGGTTTAGATATAAAAATTATGATAATTGAGATAGATATAAAGAAGCACGTAAGGAATCTAAGAAAGTAATATGCGACGCAAAGATCTTAGCTTTTAATGATTTATATAATAAATTAGATACTAAGGAGGGAGAAAGATATATGTATAAGTTAGTCAAACAAAGAGATAGGAGTAGTAAGACTTTAGTTCAAGTGAAGTGTATTAAGGATGGAGATCATAAGGTATTTTTATTAGAAGATGATATTCAACAAAGGTGGATTTGATATTTTATTAAACTTTTCAATGAAGATTGTGAAATTACGATTGACTTTAGTGATCTTAGCAGCCTAAATGAAAATAAAGATTTCTATTTTTATTGGCGTATTAGTAAACTGAAGTTAGAGAGGCTTAAAGAAAATGAAGTGTGGAAATGCTGTTGGACCTGATGATATCCCATTAGAGATGTGGAAATGCTTAGGAGATGAAGGAATTTCTTGGCTTACTAAATTTTTTAATACTGTTTTGAAGACTAAAAAGATGTCAAATGAGTGAAAAATGAGTGTGTTAATTCTTCTTTTTTAAGAATAAAGGTGGTGCACAAGATTGTGCGAATTGAATTGGAATTAAGTTAATATGTCATACTTTAAAACTATGGGAGCGAGTTATGGAGTGTAGGTTGCGGCGTGATACTAATATTTCTCAAAATCAATTTAGATTTATGCTAGGTCTACTATGGAAGCCATACATTTATTGAGAGGTATGATAGAGAAATATAGAGAGAATAAGGAAGGATCTACATATGATATTTATTGATTTAGAGAAAGCATATGATGAAGTTTCAAGAGAAGTGCTATGGATAGTTCTTGAGAAGAAAGGAATTAATAACACTATATTCAAATCATTAAATATATGTATGTAAGAGCTATTACTTTGTTCAAATAGAAGGTCGTTTGACCAAGTATTTTCCTATTTCGATTGGATTACATCAAGGATTAGCCTTAAGCCCATATATTTTTGTTTTAGTTATGGATATTTTCACTAGACATTTGTAAGAGGATGTACCTTGGTGTATTCTTTTTGCAGATGATATTCTTCTTGTTGATAAGAATAGAGAGGGAGTTGAAGGTAAACTTGAATTATGGAGGTCAACCTTAGAGTCTAAAGGTTTTCTCTTGAGTAGATCTAAAATTGAATATATGGAGTTCAATTTTAGTAGTAATAGACCTAGTGAGTGGACTGTGACTTTGGGCGATCAAGTCATTAATATGAGTACACATTTTATATATATTGGATCTATTGTTTTAAGTGATTGTGAAGTAGATGGGGATATTATCAACATAATTCAAGTTGGATGGTTGAAGTAGAGGAATGCATCGGGCTTGTTGTGTAATAAAATAATTCTAAAACTAGATCTTGGGGTTTGCCTGTCACAGCTTAACACGATAGGACCTGTCCTGGTCGGGTTGGGTTGTGACACAGATGATGTAAATGTTGATTTCTATCGTAGGGGATTTGTTCCAGACTACTGGATTTGGATCTCTCATTGTGAGTACGAGCCATACAGAGATACTCATTCCGGTCCATCTATAGCTTTTGAAATAGTTGATGAAGATCATATGAAAAACTTGTTTTTGATGTAGCATGTCCTAATTTAAGGGCTAGTGTGGAAGAGCCAACAAATGCAGAAACCAAAAAATTCTTTGAATCTATTCAAAAATTTATTTGGGATTGTTGCAAAACTCATTCAGAATTATCAGTTGCTGTGAGGATGCTAAGTATCAAAATTGAATATAACATGCCTCGTGATTGTTTCAATGATTTTATTGGTCTTCTTAAGGAAACAAATTAAATGGATAATTTAGTCCCCACAGATTTATATCGAACAAATAAATTAGTATCTTAGTT